TCAAGAGATTGATAAAAAGGCCCAAATAATTCTATGGTTTGTCATTAAATTAAACGGTGAGGATTAAAAGCTTGCTCTTACATACGCGACGGAGATTAAAAGTTATTATTCTCGGCGGAATTATTAGACGGTTAGAGTTAAACCTCTTTTACTTTTGTTTGGCTACAGAGTTAAACCTCTTTTACTTTAATAGTACAGATTATGTCTATATTTAATTTGATGTTTATAGTCGTTCATTAGCCCTACTAGTCAAGCACGGGAAGCTAACTTTCTATCAACAAAGCTAGCGGGGTGTCCAGGTGCAGGTAGTCCCCATCTTCACAGACAAAAATAATAGTAAATTTTCTTTACAATTTTTAAATATTCTTTGTTCACAATAATATTGGGTATTATTCACATGAAATCAAATGGGCCTGCTGGATCCATTAACAAAAAAAAAAAAAACCAAAATAACCTTAGAGTAAAGACTAACCTTTTTGTTCATCGCTTCTCTCTCTGTCTGGGCATTCGTTGTTTTTGTTCTTTATTTCTCATCAGAAACGATCCAAATCGATACTACACTGAGATCACCTTCTTTAATCTCATATTCTTTCTCGTCAGCTTCCTCGTGTTGGATTTTACCAAGTTTCAGTATCGTGGATTCGATTGAATTTGTGTTGGTTTTTGATACAAGACTCGGTGGTGAGCTTGTATCAGGATAGATATGATGGCTACACAAGATGGCGGTCGCTTCTCTCTTGTGTAGGAAAGATGGTCGTTGATGTAGATCTGACACGATGGCGCTCGCTTCTCTCGTGTGGGATCGAATGAAGGGGAAGTGCTGGCGGATTGAAGTACACCACAGAGATGTGATTGGTCTCTGATACAGTACACGATCTTAGCCTTGTGGAATCACACACACAAGACAAAGAACAAGCTTATTCTCTTAAGAACACTTAAAGAGAAGAAGTGAAGAAAGTTCGGTTCTTTATTGATAATCAAGGGTAAAAAACTCGTACAACTGCTGCAGGGGGACTTTATAAGAGTCCTTCAGCTAGCCCTAAGGCCGAAATAAATGTAAAAATGCAACAAAGGAAACAAATAAAATTACAAATACAAAGCCATTGTTTTTGGAAAGAAAATAAGTAAAATACTAAAACAAACTTGAAACCTCGTGATGAGCACGTCTCCTAGCCGTTGTTGGGGCTTAATGGACCTGCAATTATCGAAAATATTAAATAGAACTTACCTGGATGCGATCTAGGCCCAATCGATGTTCTCTGAACTACGTCTTGATCTAGTTCAGGGGTCTTGTCAGGTGCATGTTTGTTTGTTGGTTTCTTGAAGTAGATGGTTTCTTGGAGTTTCTCTTGGGTAGCTTGATCAGTCTCTTGAAGCTCTTCCAAGTCCTTGATGTCTTGTTCTTGATCTTCACTCTCTCGATCACTCTCGAAGGTGAAGCTTGTTTTGCTCGTCTCTTGTGACTCCATTGTCTTCTCTTGGATTCTAGAGGTTTCTTGACCTGTCAAAGGAGAATTCATACCTGGGGAAATGGTATGTTCAAGACTCATTTGGGTGAATGCTTCAGCAAGCTCTTCCTCGGCGATGGGATCATATTCGTCGTGATGGAGTAACGGTGGTACAGACCAGTTGCCGTAGTTCAGCTCTAGTGAGCTCACAATGTCTTGTACAGCTAGGTTGAACCTCTTTCTAAGTTGTTTAGACTTTGAACGAGTCATGGGACCTACTGGGACGACTGGTACAGGGTGTGGTACAGGGTGTGGTACAGGATCTGGTACTTGATCTAGTTCAGCGGGTTGGACAGGATAATCGATGTCCGCATCATTCCCTCCCTCTTCAAAAGGTTTTGCCCTCAAAACT